GTGTTTGGACTTTATGGCCTGTAGGATCTATTGTAGCCTGTTATAATTCATGATAGAGTTCCCAAATACAATCTCAAATACTGAGGGCAAACTATTTTTTTCTTCCGTCACTTGCTTCCTTTCTCTCGTTTTCTTTACATTGCTTGATACCTGGAACTAATCCAGTTTTAATGTCCTCCAAAAACCAGTTCAAATTACTTTGCTGTCCTGGAATGTGCCTTGGATCCAGTCTGTGAAACATGTTTTTATGATCCGTGGAGAAAGAAATGTGGTTGATATTTTACCATTCTGTGGGGCTGTTTTACAGAAGATGATCAGAGAAAACTGACTGATAAGGTGTGGTAGCCATGAGACTGCTCTGCAGAGGCCTCAAACTATAAGGAACATAATTAACCAAAGCTATGAGATCAGTAGTCGGCTGGGCTATGAAATCTATCCTCTGTTTACACTGAGGTCATGCTTTCCTTGGAGTGCTCCCAGTGACTAAATGAGGCAGACTTGCTCTTGGGAGGCATGGATTGCTCTGATGGTCAGCTTTGGCTGGAGGCCTTACCAAGCCTTTTTTAGACTACATTGCAATATAGGACACTTTTACCTAGCCTCCCCTCAAAAAAATCAAATTAGATGCATCGTGGCCTCATGGCTCTCCCGGGTTTCCCAGGCTCCACTCACCTCTATTTTCTCTTACAGAGACATTTTCCCTAATAAAATCCTTGTTGGTTTAATTCTATCTTAGTGTCTACTTCTCAAAGGACACAAACTAACACATAAGGAAACATATGAGCCCAAGCATGAAAAAAATGAGTGAGCCATTAGCTATCCTGGGTAGAGTGTTCTAGACAAGGGGTGCAGCAAATACAAAGGCCCAAAGTTGAGAGACTGCTTGGGTGTGTGTGCTGCTAACTGACCCAAACAGCTTAAGCTAACCCAAAACAGTCCTGCACAATTCTTAAGTTGTCTTTGGTAGATGATGATAGCCACGAAAAACTTTGACTTGGTCAGGATTAGACAAGCCCCTAATAAGGGTAAGCTATGATATAATGAAAGCAAGTATCAAGTCAAATATTGTCACACAGACAGACATTTACTTAAAAACATTCATTAGGAAACAGGGATCCAACAATCCGTAAAACCTATTCTGTAAGTTCAAGAAAGTCCCAGCTCTCTGTCCTTTTAGATGCACCTACCAGCCCTGTGCATGAAAGGTTTTTTCAAGGCAAATAAAACATTCCAGAAACAGAATTTTGTTTCTCTTTTAACAGCAGTTGGCATTAGGCCTGACAGAAGTGCCTGGAGATCAAAACCTCAGGTACCATCTCTAAAAGTAAAGGCCTCACTGGAACCTCATTTCCTGTTCATTCATGCAAAGGAGGGAATAGCTCAAAAAAGCTGCTTTTTTAGTCTTGTCTACCACCAATTTCACAAATGAAAACCCAGTTCTCACCCTCCAATGCCAATTATGTCAGGTCTCAGCTCCAAATCCACTCTTTATTGCTTGCTTTGGGAAAATTAAGATGGGCTCTTTAGTAATTTTTCCTGGAGAAACATAGCAGGACAAAGAGGTCATCCTTCCTGGTTCCAGGTGCATGGAATGGCTTCTCCAGCACCTAGCTCCTTTAGCATTTGGTTGCCAGAAGCACAGAGCAGCCACCAGCAGCCCCCACCCCCCGCCCCCGGGGAATGTCATAGCAGAGTGACTCCTGTGAGGGACCTTTCCATGAAAGACTTTCTTTGGCCCATTGTAGGATGGGTCTCCTCCAAGTTTCTGAATACACAGCACTACAGTAACCCTGTGAGCTATGTTGTGCCTTTTCCACGAAGGTCTGGGGTTCAGCTCTGGGGGTGGCCTCTTTCTGGGGTTGCCCCATCTCAGCCTTAAGGGTGAGCTGCTCTTTATATCTATTTTTCCAGTATTTCTTACTGTACCCTTCTTACCGGCCAATCTCTCGCTCCAATCTATTGTTATCATTAGTAAGTCTTTATAGTAAAGTTTTCTTTAAGTCACTGGGTGGTTTCTGTCTCCTCATTGGACCCTGACTGGTACACCAATTAACAAGCCACTAATTTCACCAAACCCATTTTTATCACTCATTAAGCTAATTAGCAAATCTTCCAGTGTGAGGAGAGAATGCTGAAGACTCCTGGTAGCTGCCTCTGGGTGTGGCTCCTCTGAAATGCTGGCTGACCACACCTGGAGTGTGCTTGGGACCCCACACACACACACTCCCCCCACCCCCCCCACCCCCACACACAAGGAAGGCAGGATGGTTAGAGCCGAGTGAGGAAGTGGAGAAAGGTAGGAGATGACTTTGGGAAGATGGAGGCAAGATCACATTTTGGCGTTTTGGCCATTGTAAAGTTTTGAGCTTTTACCTAAATTTGTAAATCTATAGAGGTGTATTGGAGTAGGCAGTTGAGTGTCCTTGATCATTCTTCTTGGCCTTATGTCTGATGTCTCTGACATGGGGGTGGGGGGAACAGTTCCACACAGGTTTTGAGTCTCTTCAAGCTTTTTGTCCTATGTGTATGCCAAGCATATTAAAATTTCTAGCAAAAACTCCTCAGATGCCTCAGGCACAGAGAGGAGCTAAGGGGGTCCATACACACAAGCAACTTGGAAGGGAAAAAGAATTAACATCCTAGAAGTAACCCTAAACCAATGGGGTTAGGAGCCAATGAATAAATGCTACCACTGAAGTCCATTAGAGGAAGCTCCTGTCCACTCCTTGGGGGTCCTGGCAGAATTAGGACCCCACTGGCCATAGCAGCAACCTCAATAATGTCCCTTATATAGGCTATTTCTGCCTGACTGTTGCCACTCCCTCACTCCTATTCCCTAGGGTCACCTCCCAAATGAGCCACCAGAGCACAAATCTTTCTCTGTGGCTCTGTTCTGGGGGGATCACGGCTTAAACAGTTGGGACCAGAAGTGGGCAGCTGCTACCCCTTGGTTTGTTGTAGCATCATGATTACAAAAACCCTTGCTTGTAGTGCAGGGTACAGGTACACACAAAGCATTTGGTTAAGCTGTACACCTATTATATGAATAGTATGTGGTCACAGTAATTGCAAGGTTTGTGCAGTTGGCTAGCTCTATTATCTGTGGAGGAAGCCTTGAACAAAGATAATGACAGATTCAGATCAGCCAGCTGTTTACTCAGAGCATGCTATGAAAACAAGCAGTCCTCCATGATGCTGTTTAAAAAGACTTTCATCTCCTGCAGCCATAAAGGAGACATAGGCCTAGGATCTCATTGTGAGTAATAAAAGGCATTTCTGTCTACCAAGTGACTAGTCTTGTTACTGTGGGCATGGGTTTTCACTCTACTTCTTAGAAAGAACCAGGCTTGAGCGTGTGTGAAATGTTTTCCACTCGAGTTTACCTTGAAAATGAGACCGGCATGGTGTCGTGTTTTCGAACATCCACTCTACTTCCCCGGATCCAGGCAGAGGACTAGGGCGTGGGTCATGGACTTCTATCGACATTTTTTTTTTCTACCAAGACAGTCTTGTTACCATGTGCCAAGTCCTCTATTGAAGGTTCCATTATGAAAATTTAGGCTATATTCTGTGGCCAATGTCTCCACTACTTCCTGGAAATAGCAACAATGCTTGGCCACACTTCCGAACTCCCCAGTCGAGTAGTGTCCCTGGTTCCTACAGGCTCACATGAGCCAGGTACTACAATTCTATCAGTCAGTAAGCTGTTTCCTCTTACAACAGGGACTGTACTTCCTCATTCAGGCTCTACTGAGAACTGCTCTAAATATTGGTCTATAGGCAATGAAGTGAATTGAGCTGCATCTTGGGAGGATGAGCACCATTTTGGGAGGGTTCCATTCAGGTGGAGTCTTTGTCAGGTACCTAGACAAAGGGAGGCTGCTCCCCTATGTCAAGGGGGAGGGGCCACAGCTACTGGTCTTGAAATTAGAGGGGGAGTCTGTGTTTTAATATTCCTGGGTTCAGAGTCCCAACTCCCTGTCCCAGTCTCAGGTTTCCACTACTTCGCTATAAGGGCCCAACTTCACCATGGAAGACCTCCAGCCTCCTTTGCAGCAGCTTCGT